GGCACGTTTAGTGTCCTTTGACTCCGCAATTTTGTTCACTTGGGAACGCCATGCTGCCCGTTTCGCCTCGACTGTTTTCTCAGCGATCTGTTTTGAGATATCAAGCCATGCCTTCCTATTGGCCCCCATGTTCCGTCTGAGTTTGTTTCTCTCCTTGATCAGCTCCCGGATTTCATCATTCATCCACGGGATGTCGTCGGCTCGAATCACCTTTATGGGGATGGCGATAGAGGCGGCCTGTTTGACCAAGGAGGTAAAGGCATCAAGTCGGGCTTTGGGTTGGACATGTTCCTCAAGCCGAGGAATGCCTTCTAGGATGGCCTTGCTGTATCTGCCCCAGTTCGCTTTCTTGAAGTTTGGCCTGAGTCTTCTCGTTTTCGACTCCACCTTGATTGTGACTCTCCATTTGATCAGGATGGGGAGGTGGTCTGATTGGAGATCGAGGATGGTAGACCAGGAGCAGTTCTCAGCGGTTGATTGGTCCGCTATAGTGAGGTTGGGGGCGCTGAGCCCAGAGTCTAGAGTATTCCTGGAATGACGGGTTGGCGCTCCATCGTTGAGGATGCGGAGGTTGTTATCGTTGATCCAGTCAAATAGTTGCGTTCCTCTAGCGTCTGGATTAGCATAGTCATCCCACGCGAGGTGATGGGCGTTAAAGTCCCCACATACAAGGCCTTTGGGAGTCGCGAGTTGGGGGAGGATAGCGGCTTCTGAAGAAGTGGGGGTAGAGGAGTAGTGGGACCTTGCTGGGGGGAGATAAATATTGGTGAGAATAAGATCTTTCCGATGAGCAATAGGGATTAGAATCTGCTGGAGTTCCACTGGACCTGAATTGAGACTTAGCTGGCTGGAGAAGGGAATCCCCCTCCTCACATAAGTCATAAGTCCACCACCTCTACGGAACTTAGGAATTATGGAACTATGGAACTCCTGTTGATCCAGATGTTGTTGCAAATGATGGTAAGAGCGGTGATGATTGCCTCTCCTCCTGCCTGCACTAATTCTACAGGTATGTTGTCACTACCTGCTGATTTGCCTTGTTTCAGTGATTGAGTGGCTGCCTTTCCAGCAGCTCCTTTATTTTGTTGTTCTACTTCCATTCATAACTTTGCTGCTGTGAATTGGGAATTTCTCCATTGCGAGACTAATAAAGGTTTTCTTATCTTATCTTACTGCTGCTTCAACTTCTCTAAGGATGGATTCTCTAAGAATGGATTGTGAGCCCTCGTCTGTTGTTGGCACACGGCAATTCAGTACTGTTGGGTCTCCATTGAGCTGGTGGTTATAAAGTTCAGAACAGTATTCTGTCCACCTGTCTAAAATATCTTTGTCTTCAGTGAGGCATTTTCCTGCCTTGTCCTGGATACTCGTAGGTCTTCCTTGCTTCTCAGCGGTAAGGTCTTTTATCACCTGGTAGGCCTTCTTGGCGTTGTTCCTTTCTAGGCCCTCCTGTATTTCCATTTTTGTTCAATCCAGGACTCCTTTGCTTTCTTCATCTCTCTCTTGACTTTGTTGTTTGCTTCCCTGTATTTCTTGGCTCCCTCTGGGTCTTTCTTCTCCTTCTTCACGTCTCTTCTTTTGTCACACAATGTCAGGATCTCTGTTGTGACCCAAGGTTTCTTGGGGCGCTGGTGTTTTCCTAAGATTTTGCTTGCAGTTTCAACTACTATTGTGTTGAATGCCTCCACAGTTGCTTCTAGGTCGAGATCGTTCTCAGTAGCCCTTGTGTTACAATTTCTACAATTTTTGTAGATTTTTGCATATTGTCATCTTTAAATCAAAGACAAAGCATAAAAATTGTGTGATATGAAATATTCCAATTCATGTTTTATTTATATAGATTTATATTTATGTTTTGGTCATAGCACAATACCGCTTTTATTGTCCATAGAGGGCAAAAATACAAAGAAAAAAATAAGAACTATATGTGTATGTATAGCACTGATGCCACTGAACATGTCGAGTGGTTGAAAGTAAAATAAATATTCAGGAATAATACTTTTACAATTTTTGTAAAATTGTATGTTGCGTTATATAAACTTATTTACATCGACTGCAGTACATGGGATTAAGGATTGTCAGTGGTGCGAACTTCCCTCCAATCATTGCCTGGAACTCCTCTTTTACTGTTGGGTCCTTCAGTTTCTCTAGGTTGAACCACAGCCTTGTGAATTTGGGCTTGTTGATCTTTTTCAAGCGCACTTTGAATGTCATCATCACCAAATGGTGGTCACTTCCAATATCGGCACCAGGGAAAGTACGAGCGATGTTTACTCCAGCTCGAAAGCATTTGGGGACCAGAATATAGTCAACCTGGTTATGGTATTGGCCACCCGGATGGTGATCAGTCTGCTGGAAACTGGGCAGCAACCAAAACAGTGTTCACAATGTCTTTGTGAACAAGGAAGCCGACGCCTTCTTCATGTTTTTCTTGTTTTCCACTGTAGTACATCTTGTTACCTTCCATTATAGTTGTTTTGCCTATTCCTGTCCACCATGTTTCGCAGAGGCCCAGAAGGTTCCAGCGATATCTGCTCATCTCATGAGTGAGTTCATGAAGTTTACCAGTTTGCCAGAGCATTCTGGTATTCCATGTGCCAATTACAATGTTCTCTCGGGCACGTATCTTTGTTTTCACCAGCACCAGTAGCATATTTGTCACCTCTGCCCTGGTGTACAGCAGCTGGCGCGGTCCTTGTGGGGTCTTTGGTGGTCTTCTTCTTCATGGCAAGTCTTGGGCATTCTGACCTGGCGGATCACATTCATCTCCAGGTCGTAAGCCATGGCCGAGATCACCCGCAGCTGAGTGGTCGCTCTGGCCCCAGACACTTGGCCGTTGAGTTTGCTGGAAACCCTTCGGTCCTGGCCGTTGGCTGGAGATTCAGCTCATCCGCCCCTAACGGTGCAGTGATGACACCATCCCCTCACGTGGTTTAGCCTGCCAGCTGAGACGGTGTGCCGGGGTGTGGGCGCTTGGAACCAGCACGTGAGAGCTTTAGGAGATGGATGAAAACCAGTGATGCCCGTCTACTCCCGAAGGACCACAGCTGCAGACACCAAAGATACTGCCTCTATCCAGACCCCCTACACCCCTGATTATCACACCCGCCTTTTTTTCTAACCCTTTCTCAAAAGCAAAACAGGTTGACAAAACAGAGGTCATCGAAGTGCTTAGAACAAGGAACGCTTGTCGACACCGGTTTGAAATTCATTCGCTTTGCGAGAACGGAACATTGACATGACCTATTCTTGTCTGTTGACCACTCAATTAACTGTTTGCCTGAATGTGAACAATGCATCGCCATGCAGCACTGAGGCAATTCACCCGAATAACTCTAACAATGGCAAAGAGCAGTTAACGGGACAAATAACAATACAGTATAGTGGCTATATCTCTCTACAGTATCTATCTATATATATAGATATATATCTAGATCGATCTATATCTTTATCTGTATAGATATAGATAGATAGATAGATAGATAGATAGATAGATAGATAGATAGATAGATAGATAGATAGATAGATAGATAGATGGATAAATTTTCATCAAATATTAAATTAATTAAATACGACAGCATGGGGTACAAATGGTGGACGACTGGTTTGCATGTTCAGCTCACAGTGCGGCAGTACAAGGTTTGATTATTTGTATTTAGTTTTTTTTTTGTTTTTTTATTTACCAGTGCAATTCATAACAGTAACTTTATTTACATATTTTTTTCACAATTTATGAGAAACTCTCTAACAGAAAACCTTCCTTTTTGCTCACTTGTCTGGCTCACAGGTGCTCCCCCAATCACTGTGAACATGGAGGAACATGTACTCAGTCGTGGCGCACCTTCCATTGTAACTGTTCCAACAATGGCTACAGAGGCGCGACCTGTCACAGCTGTAAGCAAAAGGTTTTTGTGATGTTAAGGTGTAAAATAATATGATATCTATCTAGCTGTCTGTCTATGACATTAATGTGAATTCCCCCTCGAGACACTGACAGATAAATTAATCCATCCATTATCTGAGCCGCTCAACCTCAAGAGGGTCACAGGTGTGCTGGAGCCCTTCCCAGCCGTCTTTGGGCAATCGGCGGTGCACACCCTGAACTGGATTGCAGGGCACACAAAGACAACCAACCATCCACACTCACAATTACAGCTTGGGCCAATGTAGAGTGCTCCGAAAACCTGCAATGCATGTTTTTGGAATGTGTGAGGAAACCCGAGTACCCGGAGAAAACCCATGCAGGCACGAAGACAACATGCGAACTCCACACAGGAAGGTCGGAGCCCAGAATTGATCCCTGGACCTCTGCACTGTGAGACGGAGATGCTAACCAGTGAATCACCGTGCTGCGAAAGATAACTTGTCTTTCATAAATTAACCAAAGCAGCATTCTTTTTCTTGCTGCTTACTCAGGGGCAGGGAAACATGCTAAGACCCATTAAAATTCAGCAGGCATGTTGCAACATTAGCATTACGTGAGGGCAGTATGTATATTAGATGTAAATACATATTTTACCCACACATCTCGACATCTTTTAGGACATAATGCAAAAGGCCATGATGAAAAATGTGTATAAGCCCCGCAGTGTAAGCGGGGATGGTATTGCTGCATGAAAAAACACAGGCACAGCAGCTGGTGTTCATTGCGTTCATATTTCAGGATTACATCAAAAACCTTTTATTTTATTCAGACATTCACTATTAACCAATTGACCTTCAATGCCCACATGATCCGAGATTATCATCGTTCCACTTAATTATATGAAAAAAAAAGGGAACCTCCTCAGCTTTTTATTTTTGCATTATTGAATACAGTATGTTGAAACAGACATTGATGCAAATCTGGCACGGTAGAAATGCAATATCTTCATGTAGTTCTGGAGCAGCCTATCAAAAGAAATTTGTAAAAACCCATTTTAGAAGTGACAATGGAATTTTCTACTTTAGTTTTTTATCGTCAGCCAGGCACAGGAAATTCCAAAATGTTGCAATGTTGCTCCTTAGTTAAAAAAACGCCGAGACGCACAAAACACTTTTCCTGACACCTGTTCATGTGATAGCGAATTTCAAGATTTTAAAAAGATCCTTCATGATCCAGATATTTTGAGCTGGTGTTTATTTTTCTCCACAGCAAGATATGAGCAGTCCTGTGAGGCATACAAACACAAAGGGAGAACATCAGGACATTATTATGTGGATGTGGATGGCAGTGGACCAATCAAACCTCAACTCGTATACTGCAACATGTCAGGTGACACATGCGCACGCACGCACGCACGCACGCACGCACGCACACACACACACACACACACACACACACACACACACACACACACACACAAACCTATTTAAACATTCATGGCATACAGTAATTCCATTATTCACACAGTTTCAATCTACTCTTTACGAAATATTTTCTTTGTTTATTACATTTAATGTAATTTGCTCATTTGTTTTTTTGTCTAACTATCAAGTTATGTATTGCCAAAAGCATTCTCTCACCCATCTGAATAATTGGAATCGAGTGTTCCCAGCACGGTGCCAGGACTTTTTTCCCTCCCGGGGCTAAGGATGGCTTTGACCAATACCGTAAGGGGGAGAGGGGGAGAGAGTGTGTGCGTGTGTGTGTGTGGGGGGGGGTGTGTGTGTTAGAACGTACTGTATTTGCAAAGTACATTCAGTTCAAACATATTGATAAAATGTAGGCTAAATGCTAAAAACCGGATTTATTCCCATAATTCCATGCGGTGTTGACTTGCACATGCTCAAGTAAAAGAAAAATGCCTTTAGCCCACATTTTATCAATATGTTTGAATGTGTTTGCAAATACAGTACATTTAATCAAACATAAATCTAACTAAATGAGCAAGTAACTAAAAGACTCACACCATCCCTCCCTGGCTCACAAACAGATTATGGACACATTTATAATAACCAGGACTGCTAATGCTGCCTTAATTGCTTTTGGGAGAAGTGAAGCCACTGGTGGCCATTTTACATTGCCACTCACAAAGCTCGCCTAATTTGAATACAGTAAATCAATATTTCCTCACTCTTTTCATGTTATTTCCTGCCTGTAAGGCAAAAATTCCACAATGTGTCGCATATGGTTGCACTCGTAAATGTGGTAGGAGCTCTAATTGAACATTTCATCGGTAAGAACTAAATTATAAATGTTTCTTACTACCGTATTTTCCGTACTACAAGGTGCTTCATAGTAGAAGGCGCACATTCAATAAATGGCCAATTTAAAACTGTTTTCATATGTAAGGCATTCAAAGGCGCATAGAATAGAAGCTCCAATAGTGGTTGCAGTTTGGTCGAAAACCGGTTTTTGGTTGTAATCTGAGATGTAAAAATCTCGAATTTTCTGGTCGAAATCCGATTTGGTCGATAACGGAAACGTTCGAAAACCGAGGTTTGACTGTATAGAGCCTTCACAACCGCTGCAGCTGCAACAAAGCACTTGACAGAACATTGAAAGTACTATGTCCAACCAATAAGAATACTGATCCATATGTAGCTCCCTCAGGATGTAGCAAGAAGCACGACACAAAGTCCATAAATATACCGGGTTTATTCCTTGGCAACCAATGAGAACTGGTCCATTGCCACTGGTGTATAAAATCAAGCATGTAGGCAAACATTTGTGAAAGAATGGGTTGCTCTCAGGAGCTTTGTCAATTCCAACATGGAACTGTGATAAAATGCCACCCGTGCAACAAGTCCGGCTGTGAAATTTCCTCAATCCTGAATATCCCACATTTGACTGTCAGCTGTATTATTGAAACATGGAAGCATTTGGGAATGGCAGCTGATGGAGCGGGATCAGCAGATGCTGAGACACATTGTTTGAAAAAATTGCAGACTATCTGCCGAGTCAATCGCGACACATCTACAAACTCATACTGCCTTCAGATTAGCTGAACAACAGTGGCTGGAGAGGTTCATGTATTGGGTTTCACCGGTCAAGCAGCTGCATCCAAGCCATGCATCACTATGTGCAATGCAAAGCAGCGGATGCAGTGGTGTAAAGTACATCGCCACTAGACTCTCGCACAGTGAAGATGCGTTCTCTGGAATGACCAATTACGCTTCTCCATCTGCCAATCTGCTGGAACAGTATGTGTTTGGTGGCTGCCAGGAGAATGGAATTTGTCTGACTGCATTGTGCCAAGTGTAAAGATTAGTGGAGGGGGGATTGTGGTAGGGCAGCACGATGATGACTGGTGAGCACGTCGGCCACAGAGTACAGATGTGTTGGGTTCGATTCCGGCTCCGGCCTTCCTGTATGGAGCTGGCACGTGCTTCCCGTGCCTGCGTGGGTTTTCTCCGGTTACTCTAGTTTGCTCTCACATTCCAAATACATGCATGGCAGGTCAATGTACCACTCCAATTTGTCCCTATGTGTGATTGGGAGTGAGAATGGTTGTTCGTCTATGCGTGCCCTGTGATTGGCTGGCAACCAGTTCAAGGTCTACTGCCCAAAGTCAGCTGCGATAGGCTCCACCACACCCGCAACCCTCATCAGGATAAGCAGATCAGATAATGGATGGATGGATGGGATGATGGTATGGAGTTGTTTTTCAAGAGCTGGGCTTGCTTCCTTCGTCACAGTTAAAGTTTAACTTGAGCACTTGAGCATAGCAAGAGATTTTAGACAAATCTATCCTTCCAACTTTGTAGGAATAGTTTGGAGGTGGCCGCTTCCTCTCCCAACATGACTATACAACAGTGCACAAAGCAAGGTCCAGAAAGACAGGTCCGACATAAGCCCTGTTCGCACGGCATACATTTGGTCCGACGCTGCACCGAAATATTTTGTTGTGATATATTTTACACCGGAGCAAATTTTGTGGAGTGGTCACACGTGCAAAGCCGCTGAGCGTGACAGCACCAGCGCAGTGTTGGCACAGCTCCACTTGCAGTCACACGTGCAGTTTCTGCTGCGGACCAAAACGACAGGAATGCGGAAGTAAAACAGGTTCGGGTCGGGTCGGGCTTCTCTCTCGCAGACTTTTATTTATTTTTCTTTTAATAAATATTATGGCAGACACTATTCTGTCCTTGTTTAGAATAGATCCACTTGTTGGCAGTCGTGGAATAAAGACGTGTTTACAGTCAATCGTGTGTGCTCCTTATGACTGCCACAATATATGTTTTAAAAAATGTACACTAAAACGATGTGCAGATACTAAACTAAGGAATACTTGTTTTAAAACAAACAATTTGCATAAAACAGAGAATGCGCTGTAATTTAATTGCTATTTAACTGCTAAACAGGAGCGCAGCCGGCCAGACGCAGTGCGCACGTATGTTCATTTCGTTTAAACAATCCTATAGAAATAATTTCAGATATCTTTACCTATTTATTTGATTTGAATTATTCTATTTAAAGCCTAGTAAGCCGCAGGATTTCTCTGCGTAATTAAGCAAATGCGCATCGAGATTTCTGGTGAGCATTAACTTGAATGGCCCGTACAGAGTCCTCATCTCATCCTGATAGCACGCCTTTGGGATGAATTAGAGCAGAGACCAAGAGCCCCAGAGCCAGGCCCCCTTGCCCAACAACAGTGTGTGAACTCACAAATGCGCTTGTGAAAGAATGGTCAAAAATTCCCATGGCTACCCTTCCCAGAAAAGTTAAAGCTGTTATTGCTGCAAAGGGTGGATCAATGTCATAGTGATCAGATGGATTAAGAATATGATGCCACCTAAGTTCACAAGTGAGTCAGGCAGGTGAGCAAATACTTTTGGCAAGATAGTTACTTCATCTGTTCCCTCTGAATTTCTGCCTCCGAAGTGCTGCATTAACGTACTTGGAAATGATGTCTCTCGTGTGACCACTTAAGACAGGGCATGGATTGTGATCAAGCACAATAATACAGAACTGACCACACTGCAGTCGAGCGCTGAGAGAAAGCAACATAGAGCCCATTTCCAGTACGCTTCAGAAGAGGAGCAGTTAGCGGTGATCCTCAACCAATCAGCGCATTGTGAGCAGGAACTGTCATACTTTTGCAGGAAATCCCGTCTCCTCAACAAACCAGGTGAAAGTTAAATGCTTTAAAGCTTGTTTGTAATCCCATTTAGAAATCTGTAAAAAGAAAATGTACAATTTTAAAGAAAAGAATCCTACTAATCCTTGTGTTGTGCAGGTTCACCCAATCATGTGGCTCGGACCACAATTAATGAATGTCGGTGTAAAATACCAAATGGTAATTGTTGTCTGTGTTTCAGACAGTACGCCACTAAGCTGGTGGTTTGGAGGTCAAGCTCCTGGACAGATCCAAACACATTGGGCTGGAGCTTTGCCAGGCAGTCGACAGTGTGCTTGCGCCCTGCATAACAACTGTCTGAATTCAAATGTCCAGTGCAACTGTGATGCTGACAGTGAACAATGGTGTTGTAATTTGTAATACCCCTATGTATGATGTTTGGTTAATGCATTCGTATTGATTTGCGTTTTGTCTTGGGGGGCGTTTCCGTAGTACTGCTTTTCAAATGGAAAATTGGCTTAGATGGCTAAATTATCCACATTTTGGTGTATTTTCTTATTTCTTCTCACCTTGTTCATTGTTTATGTTTCTATTCTTCTGCTTTTCCTCCTCTTTTGACCATCATCAGGACTAATGACTCAGGTCTCCTCACCCACATGGAGACTCTGCCAGTCCGCTCTGTGGTACTCGGGGGTAGCCAGCCAGGCTCAGAAGCTGCCTACAAAGTGGGACCTCTTCGTTGTCATGGAGACAGTAGGTTCCTTTTGGTTATGTTACACATGTTGGTAATTTTTCAACATAGTAAGATTTGTTGTGTAACACAAGTTATCAAATCTATTTTGGTCTCTTGTAAAAACTGCATAGATACAGCCAGGGTTCTAAATTAACACCTGCCAACGCACCAAATGCAAGTTATAATTCATTTTGGCAGGTGTTGATGAAAACTTAACAGCCAGTTTGGGCAGTGATGCGTGAGGCAATATTGTCAGTCAGATATACGAGGTGCGTTCAATAACTTTGACACCCGCACGTCATGTGGGTGCACCTGGATCTGATCACAAGTGTGGCTTAACTTTGTCAAACTAAATGAAGAGCCGCTTCAGTGCAACACTTACAATGAGATGATTTTGTGCAAAGGAGGTGGTAGGACATTTTGAAACGGAGTGCCGTGTCTGACGAGCTTATTGCTCCCTCCCGCTCCAAGTCAAAGCCTCCAGTGTGCTGAACTGTCAGTTACCAACAGTTACGCATCCAACAATTCAATGGTGGGTCAACTCAAATGCAAATAAACAGGAAGCATTAGCACATTTTCTCTACAAAGCAGGTATCTGTGTCCACAACATGTATATTGTAAACACACATTGATCCTGCAGCGAATCTGAACTGAGTTACTCTGCTTTTGTCTGTCTCCACAGCAGGGTAGCCCATCAGTGGGAGCTCAGTGGAGTGTATGCTAATTTATCCTTGTGGGGGAATTTATTTTCATTAGATTTTCAAAACAAAAGCTTTTTATCCATCCATCTGTTTTCCGATCCACTTATCCCACAAGGGTCGCAGGGGGCGCTGGAGCGTATCCCAGCCGTCTTCGGACAGTAGGCGGGGGACACCCTGAACCGGTTGCCAGCCAATCACAGGACACACAGAGATGAACAACCATTCACGCTCACACCCACACCTAGGGACAATTTAGAGTGTTCAATCAGCCTTCTGTACATGTTTTTGGAAAGTGGGAGGAAACCGGAGTACCCGGGGAAAACCCACACAGGCACATGGAGAACATGCAAACTCCACACAGGGAGGCTGGAGCTGGAATTGAACCCGGTTCCGCTGCACTCTGAGGTCGACATGCTAACCACTGGACCACAAGGCCGCCCTAAAGCTTTCTCCTGAAAGTAAAAAGTTCCCTATTCAGTGGTGCTGGAGAGGAAGGTCCGTTGGGAGGTCAAGTCTCGGATTCCGGAGAAGCAATGTCGTTTTCATGCTGACTGTAGAACAGTGAACCACATGTGCACCCTCAGCGGCGTCACTGAAGGGGCTTGGGAGTTCACCCCAACCAGTTTGCATGTGTTTTGTGGACTTTTAGAAGGCATTCGACTGTTTCCCTCGGAAGGTTCTGTGGGGTGTGCTTTGAGAATACAGTGTACCAAGCCCCCTAATATGGGCTGTTGGGTCCCTGTACCACCGATGTCAGAGCTTGCTTCGCATTGCTGGCAGTAAGTCGGATTTATTTCCAGTGAGGGTTGGACTTCGCCAAGGCTGCTCTTTTGGATAGAATTTCCAGGCACAGCTGAGGCATTGCAGGGGTCCGCTTGGTGGCCTCACTATAGCATCTGTTTGTTTGCAGATGATGTGGTATTGATGCTATTCCAAATCATGATCTTCAAGTCTCACTGGAGCATTTCGCAGCTGGGTGTGAAGCGGTTGGGATGAAAATCGGCACCTCCAAATCTGAAACCATGGTCCTGAGTCGGAAAACGGTGGATTGTCCTCTCCAAGTTGCAGATGAGATCCTGACCCAAGCGGAGGAGTTGAAGTATCTTGGGGTTTTGTTCACGAGTGAGGGCAGGATGGAGCGTGAGCTCGACAGGTGGATCGGTGCATCATGTGCTGTGATGTGGACTCTGGATTGGTCTGTTGCGGTGAGGAAGGAGCTGTGCCAAAAGATGAAACTCCTGATTTACTGGGTCGATTGACGGGCCTACCCTCACCAAAGGTCACATGTGCTTGTGACCGAAAGAACAAAATCCCGGATATGAGCGGTCGAAATAAGTTTCCTCCGCAGGGTGTCTGGGTTGTACCTTAAACTATAAGGTGAGAAGCTTGGTCATACCAGAGTTACTCAGAATCGAGCCACTACTTCTGCACATTGAGAGGAGCCAGATGAGATGGCTCAGGCATCTGAGGCATCTGATTATGATGCCTTATGGATGCCTGCCCGGTGAGGTGTTCCGGGCATGTACTACCGGCAGGAGGCCCCGGGGACGACAGGCTGGAGAGACGATGTCTGCCGGCCGGCCTGAGAACATCATTGTGTCCGTCCGGAAGACTTGTAAGACGTGACTGGGGATAGGGAGTCTCTGCTTCCCTACTGAAGCTCCTGCCTCCGCAACCCGACTTCGGATAAGCAGTAGATAATGGATTAAATGTGTCAATAGTTCATCACTGTAGGTAAAGATATATGTAAAGCTATAATACATTTATTTTTTACATTTATACTGCATTGTTGAGAAAATATTGATTTTTCAAGACTTTGGCTTGGCCATTGGCCACATTGTTTTCAACCAACGAACGATGAAGTGAGAGATGAGAACAAACTTCTTCTGTTCTCCTGCCTTACCACTCAGTGTGGAAGGTAAAATACTGTAGAACAATGCAGGCAAATGACATGGGCCAAATGTTTTTTTCAGTCTGTGCTGCACGCTATGAAAAATGGATGGACTTAGTTTGAGCACCGCAGACAGATTTAAACATTGAGTGTCATTTGGAACCAGGATCGGAATTGGAGTCATTAAAATTAAAACGATGCCTGACCCTTGTTCTTGGTCATTTGTATGTCCAGCAGTGAATCCAATAAATATTATGCTGTAATGCTGGATAATGACACTTAATATGCCCATTGGCAGCATCGTGAATGCCTGTATATCACACTACAGACTAGAGTGCAACCAGCATGACAAAGGTCAAGATAGATAAAAACAGCTGAGCTCGCAAAAAAAAAAAAAAAAAAACATGGCTGACTGGCTGGTAACTTTGCAGAGTCACCAGCCACTTTGACTTGTGCTCAAAAAGAGTGTATTTAGAACCCTGGTTGCAGCTCTGCTTTTGTTCCCAACTAATTACCATACCTTACAATTACTGGATTGTTTTAAATGTACTAATTTTTTAAGTTTTAAGCATGGCAGTAAGTATTAAAGTACTCTTGTGACAAATATGTACACACTTTACATACCGATGTCCTTTTTGTGTTCCAGAAAGTTTTTGGAATGCTGCACTCTTTGATAAAGAGACATCCTACCTTCACTTCCCTACCTTTCATGGAGAGCTGAATGCAGACATCTCCTTTTTATTCAAAACAACATCTTCCTCTGGGGTCTTCCTGGAAAATCTGGGCATCAAAGATTTTATACGAATTGAACTCAGATGTAAGTGAAAGCTCAGTTCTTTTTACTTATCGTAACGCAATCATGTTTTTGCTTTCAGTATGACATGATAAAGCTAGGCTCTAGTTTCTTCTCTCTGCCCTCTGTCTTTTCTTCTCTCACTCAAAAAAACAGCATGCCTCCAATTTGGCTGATATTCTTCAGGCAACAGGTGGTTAGATATTATAGGATCCTTCAGAATACATATAAAAGACTCTTTGTTGTTATTTTTTTATGAATTTGTTTCTTTTTTTACAATTTCCCATCTGTGATGTATTTCCATTTTCTGCATCCTCCATTAGAAAAAAGTTGTCCAACAAGAATCAACACGGTGTAGTGACTTCTATGTACATAATTCACCACCAACTGCAAATGTGTGAATGCAATGTTCATATGCTTGTCAGAGAGTTCACGATTATTTGGTAACGGGGTAGAAATAATTGCAGTCCCTTTAAGGACCGCCATTTTAGTCTGCTTGTTTCTATGGAAACTTACTTTCGGCGGGCTTCGTTTGGCGCGAGTGTTTTTTTTGTGGTGCAAATAAAAAAACACGACACACTCTCTCTCGGAGTGCGCACGTGAGAAATTGTCGCTTTCTTCGAGTTCTACAATTTCCACAACGGTTTACTTCATCTCTAAATGTGGATACATGCAGTCGAGCAGTTTGATGACCGTAATAAAGGAGAAGACTCGTTTGAGTTGCATGTCTAAGAAAGAAGCATAGATGTGGCACAGATTACAGTGTTCAACCTAATCCACATTAGACGGAGTCTCAGGTCTGCTTTCTACTGCAACTCAGTCATACATCTGTGGGGAAAAAAATTACAGTTTCAAGAGACCGTTTGATGGCAACCATATAGGCACGTAACCAAAAAATTATCTCGGAATCGTAAAATCTGTTATGATTTAAAAGACGTTGAGTGGATCAAATCAAACTGATTTCAATCATTCTACTTATATACAAATGTACTATACTATATATTCCAATATATTGAGATACAGATGGGTGGCACGGTAGTGAACTGGTTAGCATGTCCGCCTCACGGTGCAGAGGTCAGGAAAGCAATTGCGGTCTCTGGCCTTCCTATGTGGAGTTTGAATGTTATCCGCGTGCCTGAGTGGGTTTTCTCCGGGTAATCCAGTTTCCTTCCACATTCCAAAACATGCATGGTCGGTTGATTGAACGCTCCAAATTGTCCCGAGGTGTGATTGTGAGCGCAAATGGTTGTTCGTCAATGTGTGCCCTGCAATCAGCTGGCAACCAGTTCAGGGTGTACCCCGCCTGCTACCTCAAACCAACTGCGAAAAGCTCCCACACAGCCTCGACCCTCGTGAAGATAAGCGGATTAGAAAATGGTTGGATGGATCTCATCCATCTTTCCATTCATTATCCCAACTGGTCTGTTGGCATTTTAGGTAATTATAAATGTCATACTGTGAATGTGTCATTCCCTTCAAACATATATTTCTCAAATGGTAATTTGATATGTATCTCATCCATCCTGTGGCACAGTGCGCAGCTGGTTAGCACATCTGCCTCACAGTACAGAGGTGCAGGGTTCAATTCCAGCTCCGGCCCTCATGTGTGGAGTTTGCATGTTCTCCCCATACCTGTGTGGGTTTTCTCTGGGTACTACGGTTTCCTCCCACATTCCAAAAAGATGCATGACAGGCTAATGGAACACTCTAAATTGTCCCTGGGCATGATTGTGAGCGCACTTCGATGTTTATCTGTGTGTCTATGTGTGCCCTGTGATTGGGCTGTAGATTATTGGGTTTATCATACATGGGCCACTGGACCTTTTGACATGTTCCATGGCTAAGACAATCGCCGGTGTTTGCGGGAATGTCTAGATGACTAATATGGAAGCACACATTATGCCGCTGGTCGCTTTCTGTTTTAAAAACATAAAGTAGAATAAACTAGTGCTTTACTCATCAATAGTGTGATCCATGACTCACACTGAGAAATACACGTTTCTACATGCACCTTTAAAAAAAAAAAGATTTTAAGTGGGGCAGGGGGCTAAATTTGACCGAGCAAGCCAACGTGCGATTATTTGCGTCTCGTGCATTGGTGATGAAGATAGCTCGGGGCGCCCAGCACTCATGTGAATTTCAAACACATGGCCATCGACATCGTAAGCATCGAAGCTCCATCCCTCCACACTTTTAAAGTCTCAATTTATGAATAACTTTTGACTTTAGGAAGTTACAATAGCACTAAAAATGTGACGATAGCTGAGAACAGACTGATTTTGTAGAATGTCTCTTAAAATACAATGGACTTTTTAGGGAAACATGAATTTCAACAGTAGTTGTAGTTTACTTCAAAAGACCTAAAACAGAAAAAACACTGTGTGATTGTAAATGAATCCAAGAATCAAAAGAATCAAACCTGAGAGACTTGCCAGGCATGTGCAGCTGCACTGAAGAAAATACTCAAAATGACTAATGTTTCCAAAGTATAATAAAATGGAGACTTATTTTTGTTCCACTGGACTGGCACAGATAAGCGCCTGGAGCTACAGTCTTCTCCAATTCTCTATCGCTTGCCCAGCTGTTCCAGCTGCTGTCCAGTTGTGCCGACGGATGGTCAAGAGGGAAGAAGTCACTTCACACCCATGAAGCCTTGGGAACGCTGCTTTTCCACTTGGCACATGATGGAAATAATTTATCAAGATAGTTTGTCGTGGGGACCCCCCCCCCCCCAAAAAAAAAAATCTATTTTTCCAGCTGCTGTCCAGTTGTGCCGACGGATGGTCAAGAGGGAAGAAGTCACTTCCCCCCCATGAAGCCTTGGGAACGCTGCTTTTCCCCTTGGCACATGATGGAAAAAAATTTTCAAAATAGTTTTTCGTGGGGGCCCCCCCCCCCCCAAAAAAAAAATCTAATTTGTGGGCTCAGCTCTATTTTAACTTAATTTTCTTAATGAAGGTTGCTTCATTTTCAGAGACCATTTACACCGAACTTACATATGCGTAAAGTGTACCCACAAACATCAGTGAAATACAAAAACATCATCGTTCAGGCAAGATGCCTGCTTTCATGTCCTTTTGTTTTCTGGCTGAGACATTTAAATGTATGAATTGAATATTCAGTGTGTCGCCCTTTTCACATCCCAATGTTGTCTTCTGCTATAAATCATGGCGGTGGCTGTGATCTTATTCTTTACATTTGCATTCCCATCGCTTTAAACTAGCCAACAGCCGTTATTTTAACCCATAACCGCCATTCAGTTGATATTCCCCTATTCAGGACACTCAATATAGGGCCACTTAATGGTTGTTAATGAAAACCCACTAGAGTTGCTCTTGAGAATGAACCAGTCTACTGACAACCAAAAGTGTCTGCTGAATTGCAATGCTTGGTGTTGACTTCAATTTGGTTACGATGCATGCATTTTTTTAAATTTATCATGCTGAAGGAAACACACGGTACCTAATTTCTTAAAGTGCAAAAACGGGTGCAAACTTAGCTGTGCATGAAAATACTGTCCATGTGGTAACTGATCTACTAATAGCACACAAGTAGGATTGCATCTGACTAAAGTGCTAAATTGCAGCACCGTGTCTAATGTAATTTATCAAACCCAAGCTCAATTGTGAGTTTTTGTGTCTTTTAAATAATGCAGACCCATTTAAAGCACAACCCAGGTACAAAGTGGTGCCACTGTAGCAGAAGGCAAAATGAGAGGCGCTGAGGAGAACATTTCCGCTCTTGTAAGCTTTTTTTAAAATGACATCAAAAAGGATCACGGTTTATTCATCAAAACAATGATGGAGCTTCTGAATGATTGAAGGCCTAACTTAAAGCCAGTCACACAAAAGAGTCATGCAATGAAAAAAACATCTGTAAACTCTCCATTTCTATGAGTCTGTGTCATTTCAATGCCCACCTCCCAGAGCAGTTTTGCTCTCTCAAGTTTGAAAGAAAATGTTCCTCAGGATGGCCACGTACCCAGGCATCCAATTGCCATGCACTCTGGGTGACTTTAACAAAAGAACATGTTTTACTCTTCCACAAACACTTCCAATTTCATCCTATCAAACTTCATTTTGCGCTTTCGAAAGTCTCCCAAATGTTTGATGGTGACCAAAACCCTTTGTTTCAATACATGAAACAAGCTGTTGGAATCTTTTGTGAGCAAAGAGATGTCACGCCGGGCTGTGCGCCTTCTTACCTACCGTGCCTCCATCAGTTGTGAATAAAAACTGCTCACCGACAACAGTAGAACTCGGTGCTTGTCTCAAGTACTTGAACTCACCTCAAAAGGAGGGAGAAATAAAGAGAATAATGTGGTCTTTATTTATTGGGAAGATTTTAACTACTACACAGCTCTTGTCACATAGCCACTGTTTTAGTTTTGCAGCCGTTTTTACACCTGCTGCCAGCAGCACACGCAATCTGTTAGGGCAGGGGTGTCAAACTCATTTTTGTCGCGGGCCACTTTGGAGTTACGTCTTCCCTCGGAGAGCCGTTAAGACAGTGAAACTGAATACATGTTTAATCATCACATCATATGATTACTTGTACACAAAAAAAAAGATGGCTCACTAGTTTTCAAATCAGTCAACTGTTTGTTCAAGTATTGCTCATGTGAGTATAAACAAGGTAACAAAATGATTGCAAAATGTCACCGTTATTTATTATGGATGAAAATGTGAGATTTTGGTACAGATTTAAGCAAGGATCTTGGAAGTTGGCACTGATGATTTGCCTTCACAGGCCACATAAAATGACGTGGCGTACCAGATCTGGCCCTTGGGCCTTGACTTTGACACCTGTGAGTTAGAGTTAGTGAACACACAATTTAGCGCTCGCAATTTGGTATTTTATTAAAAGATCTTATTGGAAAAATGCGTAACACAGCCACCAACAGTGTATGCAATCCGCAAACATGCAATTTAACACCCGCTACATTATCAAGAAATGATTGCTATGAATACTCATACACATCACATCATATTTAAAATGTGAAACAAAATGGAACGGTTGACGCTCAAAGGACTGACCCTTGAGATTCCACTGCAAGTACAGCAGTAGGACAAAATATAAAGTGCCAGGAATGCTTCTTTGATCTGTTCATTGGAATGTATAACACGAATATGAAGTCAAGTCAAAAGTTAAGTTACAGCTTAATTGAGTTCAAGTGTGTTGGTGTTAACCTCCTCTTTATTCTGCCCACTGAACTCTTTTAATAACCGCAGCCCCCTTGGAGGTGATGTTCTCTTTTGATGTGGGGAACGGACCACTGGAGGTCAAAGTGGAAGCAAGTGACCCTCTGAATGACAACCGCTGGCACAGTGTCCGAGCCGAACGAAATGTCAAAGAGGCAATGCTTCATGTTGATGACCTGCCTGCAGCCACACAGGAGGCTCCTTCTGATGGCCAAATTCATCTGCAGCTAAACAGTCAACTATTTATAGGTGAGAAGCACGTGTGTATTTTGGGGATAGGACGATTATCAGCATCGAGATTTGGAATTTTGACGTAGATAGGCAACTGCCTTTAAAAAAAAATCTGACAGCCAATCAGCGAGCCCGACTACTGTATACTGTATCTAGTCGGGACTTCTCGACCACCCACGCCAGCTTGGGTCGCTCCAGGGAATGTTGCCTCGAAGCTTCGCGTGTTCGAAATTGCGCACTTCTCTCACTCTCAGCAGCTCACCCGCACCTCGCGCACGCTACATACATTTCGACAATCATTCATTCATTTCCGCCCCACTTTAATCTACAAACAGGACACCAGACTGTTCCCACTTCCATTACTGTTTCAATCGTGCGACCGAGGGTGCACACGCAGTTCTATGATCATTTGACCCATCCATTGACACACATTCACTCACGCTCACTGGTGACGAGATGGTGCAGGCGACTCGCGGTCTCAGGAAGTCCAAATATGGACATAGTTTATCAGCCCCTTGAATCAGGCTCCTTCGTGTGTTTCAGTGGTCAGGTGACTAGGAAGTTTTGTTTTATTAAATAACATGTTTAACATTATATGTGAGTGGATATTGCGCGACCGTAGTTATTGAAAGGGCTCGTAAACGAGTTAGGTGGAGTGTGGATCCCAAAAATGCAGACTCAGATAAACTGCGTTACAAAAATATTTATTGATAGAAAAACAAAGTATAAACGGAAATCGCTAGCTACAAAAAGCCCGGAAACTCAGATATGAAGAGAAAGTACTCGCAAACGGCAAGGTAATTTGACAAACGAAAGTACTCAAAACGCAATGGCAAGATTCCAAACACATGAAAGTCAAAGTAGTCCAAAATGTAGGTCAAAATTAGCTTGTATCATGCGAGAATTGTATACCTCTGAAAGTGAATAATTTTTAATTCAAGCTTGTTCAGGCATATTCAATACAATACATCCTTATTCATAGAGCGCTTTCACAACAGCTGCAGCTGTAACATCGAATGCTAATTTAGTTTGCTACACTTCTATCAATTGTTGCCTTTTGCATTGTGTATTGATCCTGTTATGCATCTCTTGCCCTTTGTGAAAGGTTTGTTAAAGTGTCAATCATCCAATCAAGCAATGCCTGTGTGTGCCCTTATGTCTGTAAGCACACTTTCATACTATATTAATAAAGGTGTGTTGTATTGTATTGTATACTGAACGTGAAACTAGGCAAGAACCTTTTATTACTCCACATTAGAGGATGGGATTTATTATTAGTTGTTGCGATGTCATCGTGGTGGGTTGTTACAGAACTTAAAATGTGAGGCTGTAGAATTTTTATTGTTGAGGAAAAAGGCTCACTTTGTGAAAAGAGTAAACCGTCTACAGTGCTGCCAGATGGCACATCTATCACCCTGATTCTTGGCATTGTAAAACAGACAAGCCTGTACTTCCGACAAAGCCTGCATCAGCAGAGAAATAATTTAAGAGTGCCTTGATTTCTTTTATTTCCCTTTTTAGGGGGTACGGCTTCCAGACAAAAGGGCTTTCTGGGTTGTATCCGCTCTCTGCAGTTAAACGGAATCACCCTTGATCTGGAGGAGAGGGCGAGGATCACGCCTGGGGTCCAACCTGGATGCCCGGGCCACTGCAACAGCTATGAGTTTCTATGTCAAAACCAGGGTCTTTGTGTGGAAAAACCCAACGGTTTCTACTGTGACTGTAGTCAGTCAGCCTACACTGGAGCCTTCTGCCATAAAGGTATGGATTTTCAAATTTGACTTCCTGATAAACACATCCTATTCTGAGTGTCTTCCTCCTAACCAAAAATAGATCAATTCTTAAATGATCCATGGTATTAGATAAACGTCTTATTAAAAATGTGTCTTGTCTAACGTAAAAATGCAAAATCAAAACTGTATGTCTTCTCAGGTTAAAGACTCGTCTAAAACGGAGTTGCAGCAGAAATTTATCAGCAAAGAAAATAAAACACCCACCATAATGTGGTCAGAATCCACAGTGCAGACTTTCAAGTGTGTGCATGCTTATATAAACAAGAGGTGCAACAATTCTAATCATTTGTCAAATTAATTGACAACCATTTTGATAATCGATTAATAAGCAGACTCCCTTTGTGTTTACAACAAGGCATTTGAAAATGTCTGTTCTTTTATTTTGCAAAACAATGACCAACATTTTTGCCCATCATCTGATGAATGTAACGCACCATACCAGGAACTGAATGATAATTTGTTTGTTTTTGTATTCCCCTAGCTGTCAATTTGAAATAATGTCCCCTTTTTGAAAAAAATTGACTTAAATTTAAAAAAATAAAATCATCTGATTCATCGATTAGTCAAAGAAACAATGAACAGATTACCAGATTATTAAAATAATCATCAGTTGCAGCACTAGTATTTACATATTTATATTACATAGTTGTAGATTGTGTCGTATTGTCTGCACTATAAGGCGTTCAGATTATAAAGCGCGCCTTCACTGAATGGCCTATTTTAAAACTGTTTTCATATATAAGGCGCACTGCATTATAAGGTGCATGGAATAGAAGCTGCAATAGTGGCTGTGGTTACGCTATGCATCCACGATATGGAGCTACACTAAAGGGAATACAATACAATACAGCTTTATTTACATAGAACTTTCACAACCGCTGCAGCTGTAACAAAGCCATGAGAACTGGTCACAAACACGGACTTGAAACATATAAATCCAGATGACAAAACAATAAATGAAAAATTATGAAGACAATTGATTTAGCAAAAAGGCACACAAACCTCATGGGCTCACATCCACAAGGGGCTAAATAAACATCCTTAGAAGTCTTGTTTGTCTCCTTCTTCCTTCGTTTAGTCACTAGTTAACCCTGCTGTTGGTATTATTTTAGTTCCATTGTGGGAAACAAGGGTTCTGTTTGAGTGTGTGTTGGCGAATGCAAATGTCAATTAGTGTGGGGCAGAACCCTTTGAGGTTACAATTGGTTCCTGCTAATAATCACCACTAGATGGCATTGGAACACTAACAGGGAAACAACTCAATGGGGACGGTAACACCATATACAAGGCGCATCGGATTATAGGGCACACTGCCGGCTTTTGGGAAAATTGAATGCTTTTAGGCGTGCCTTATTGTGCGGAAAATATGGTAATTAACATTTCTTCTGATGACTTGACACCCAGTGATGCATGCAGACACGACAATTGTAACTCTGTAAAAGTCCTATTGCTCATTCAAAATGACGAACATATTAATATTCATTTGATTTTGCGGTGACAAACGAGTCAGGTGAAATTACCATAAGACACAATTATGTTAATTAACCATGACCTTGTGCACTCATGAAAGGAAACATGGTCTGTCTGAAGAGATCCTTCACTCAGTCGACGTCAGACTGACCCTGAAGCTTCGTGCTGTCCACTTTGACACTGTCTGGTTTTTCAAGAGAGGCTTTGAAAACACCAAAATGAAAACTCTGTGCAGAAGGTGACGCATAAAACATACTTGAAAGGACTCCTTTTCGTCTTTATGTAATTTTACATAAGTTGCAGTTCTTCACTGGCTTCAGAATGGGGAAAGTCAACAAATGTCAAAATGCACTGTGGTGGAAATGCAATGATCTGTATTGTTGGGAAATAAGGGGTAACTTGTAATGTTACTTTACTGTTAATTTACATAACTATCAGGAGTAATAAGTGTTATAATGTTCCGGTTCATAAAATAAGCAGTTACGGTCTGTATTTACAAATGTATTTTCTCTCCTCAAATTATGAGGTCCTATTTAGTATCCACCCTAGGAACCTAATTTAACTTATTCTAACAACATTATGAGTTTCTCTCTGTTGACACACTTACATCATGCTCACGGCAAATTCCTTGTAACAAATAAAAGCAGTTCCTTTCCTGGATAACTTATTCCTTGAACATTGTCCTAGCTACAAATGTCTGACAAGACAATGCATGGGAGACCACATTTAATAGAAATTGTGATCTGTTTCAGTGATTTCTGCCAACTTTGAGTCGACAACATCTATCAGATACACACTTAAGGAGCCCTTTGAGCTGAGCCAGAGCCATAGTGCCTTGCCTTCATCTATCTTCTCTAAAATGACACTGAGAGGTGAAAATATCTCCCTGAACTTCAGGACGAGACAGACTCCTGCACTGCTGTTCTTTGTCAACTCATTCTATGGGGAATACATCGCCCTGCTCATCAACAGACATGGTAAGGGCACTCGTAGCTTGTAAAAAGTACTGTCTACATCATAGCCCCACTATTGGTGGATGATTCGGGACTGAGTTTGACTGTGAATAGGGAATTTCCACAAAGAAATAATTGCCGCTCCCTTGAAAGTGATGACAATATTAATAACGATCCCACAACGTATGATCACTTTAATAGCATTTCAAACATTGCTGTCTGTTTTACAATTCTGATGATGATGATGATGATGAAGGATTGGACATGTGATGCGCATGGGTAATGAACGACTGATGAAAGTGATGGTGTTTGGGTGGTGGGAGGAACTGGTAGGAAGAGGGAAGATGATGGGACACAAGAGGAAGACTGTGTTGTATTGGAAGGGAGTAATGAGGAACGCAGTTATGGACTGGACGGAGGTGGACAGACTGACGAGTGACAGAGAAGGATGGAAGAAGAGAGTGAGTGAGCGTATGGATCATTTGTATAAATGGGAAGATCAGAAGGGCCACAGATATGAATGGGGAATGAATGAGGAAAAATTGGAGAGGAATGTTAGGAGTGTGAATGATGGGTTAGAATGTAGGTTTGAGGGGTGTGGGAAAGTATGCAGAAGCATGCCAATGCAGGAGAAGCGGATGCATCGAGTGAACGATGAACAAGTGAAGTTTGAATGTGGGAAATGTGGGAGGATGGATTGTGTCGAAGGGGAATAGGATAAGCCATGTAAGGAGTTGCACGGGGGCAGCGTATGAAGAGGGGGGAGAGAGGAGGGTGTGAAAGGTGGGTGACAAAAGCAAACTATGCCAGACACATGAGAGAGTGTGAAAGAGTGAAAAGAGAGAGAGAGAGAGAGAGAGAGAGAGAGAGAGACAGAGAGAGACAGAGAGAGAGAGGAGGTGAGGGGAGGAGGGAGAGGGGCCAGCGCGAGTGTGGCGCGTGGAGGGGGGTGGGGGGGAGGACGGCAAACAGGGGCTGGGGGGGGGGGGCCAGAGCCATAGTGCCTTGCCTTCATCTATCTTCTCTAAAATGACACTGAGAGGTGAAAATATCTCCCTGAACTTCAGGACGAGACAGACTCCTGCACTGCTGTTCTTTGTCAACTCATTCTATGGGGAATACATCGCCCTGCTCATCAACAGACATGGTAAGGGCACTCGTAGCTTGTAAAAAGTACTGTCTACATCATAGCCCCACTATTGGTGGATGATTCGGGACTGAGTTTGACTGTGAATAGGGAATTTCCACAAAGAAATAATTGCCGCTCCCTTGAAAGTGATGACAATATTAATAACGATCCCACAACGTATGATCACTTTAATAGCATTTCAAACATTGCTGTCTGTTTTACAATTCTGATGATGATGATGATGATGAAGGATTGGACATGTGATGCGCATGGGTAATGAACGACTGATGAAAGTGATGGTGTTTGGGTGGTGGGAGGAACTGGTAGGAAGAGGGAAGATGATGGGACACAAGAGGAAGACTGTGTTGTATTGGAAGGGAGTAATGAGGAACGCAGTTATGGACTGGACGGAGGTGGACAGACTGACGAGTGACAGAGAAGGATGGAAGAAGAGAGTGAGTAGGTGTGGGACACTGGAGGTGGGGCAAGTCCCTGACGGGGGCCGATTACCCAGGAGGAGGAGGATGACTGTTGTCCTCGCGTGGTGGGATGCATCTAAGTGGCGCGAGGGGGAAACGCTGGGGCTCTTGGGCCCCAGACGCGGCGAAATGCCCACCAGCCGGCGGGGAAGGAGGTGGGGTCTCACCGGGAGGTGAGGCGGAGTAGCTGCCCCACAACCCTCCTTAAACAATAATCAGGCGAGGGCCTTTCCAGGGCCCGCACTGGGTGTGAACCTCGCGTGGCACCCGCGAGAGTCGTACTGGGTGTGGGACCCCCCGGGAGGGGGGGCAAGTCCCTGACGGGGGCCGATTGCCCAGGAGGAGGAGGAATGTCTGTCATGGTGCAGTTCAGGGTGCAACATTGAACATCTGAGTAAACAGCAAAAAGGCAGCAGTTACGATGGTGCCAATGCCTCTGGTGGGAAGGCCCATTGCTTTGTTGTTCAAAATGGCGAACATTTCAGTGTTTCCTGACCCAAAACCACTGGACTCACCCACTTAGTTACAACATGAATTGCCGATAGGCTGAGCGAGGTTACGCGGTACAAAAAACAATCTAGCACATATACAATGATCAAAACAACAACAACAAAAAACAATGACATTCCTCCAGAAGTTGAAAATGAAACAAAAACACATGACTAATAATTGCCACATTTTTTTTCTGAAATAGGTTAAACCGTGTTTTGGTGTTTGGAATGAAAATCAGCACCTCTAAATTTGAAACAATGGTCCTCAGTCAGAAAAGGGTGGAGTGCCCTCTCCACAGTCAGACTACAAGAGTCTTACTCTCGTCAGTTTTATTTAATCAGAGTCATTTCATCTTGCGCATTTCAGAGAATGTCAAAGTCAGATTTTTTTTCATAAATGGGATGCTTTTATTGTTGATTTCAATGACCATCAATATCCTTGATGGTGCCTGTATTATTATTTTTATTATTGTTATTATTTTTATTATTATTAGTAGTAGTAGTAGTAGTAATAATAGTAGTACTAGTTGTAGTAGTGGTAATTATGATGATGTCATGTTACATACTTTAGCCTTCAAAAGTCTCCAAAACAATTGATAGTCTTGTATAATTTTGAACTCTACATAATTTGAGTTTGTATTATGTGAGTTAATTGAATTGTTTTGTTTGTTTGTTTGTTTTGTTTTGTTAGGTGAACTGGAGTTATGGTACAAGTTGCACAACAGTAGAGATGTGGAAGTGTTTGGAAGCAATGTCATGAACCTGGCAGATGGATGCCTGCATGTGGTGGCCATCAAGAGGCACAAAGACTCAATTTCCATTCAGGTGCATGAAGTTACTGCCCATAAATTAACTGAACAAATGGCTCACGTACATATTCAGTAACTTTACTCTTTCTTGTTGTTTCTGTTATTGTGCTTAGTATAAAAAAATAAAAATAAAAAAAAAAACTGTAAAATGCATTTTTGTCTGCCCATTACTTTTTTTTTTTTTTTTTTTAAACTGCTGTCTTTTGAAGCTTCTTGAGACAACATTTTGCGGTTAAATAATGAGACATTGTTTTACAGGTTGACAAGAACGACATTGAGCGCTTCATCTTGACATCTGATGTAGAATTCAACAGCATCAACTCGATTATTCTGGGACGAGCACGCGGTAAGCGATGCAGTCTTGCTCATGTTTTGCAACATGGGTTGTTGCCTTCCACAGAAACTTTAACATAAATCACGACAGATCTCTGTTATTGTTTATCAGCAAGGACAAAGGCCTCATACAGTCATCACAGCAGGAGCTTTTAACACGGTCATGGTCACATAAGGAGCACTTTGCTCCAAAAATATGACAGAAGAAACCAAAGTCATCACTGAAAATGGAGCCACCGCCTTACATTAATGATGTTTTGAAATGGCTTTCAAAGTACTTTAAGCCACATGGGCGAGTGAAATGATGTACACTGGTCAGACAGCACTGTTATTTTTTCACTAATGCAAAAGTTCAGACACAGTTTACTGTATGTCTGTGACCCTTTGTTTGGTATCTTAGTGTTGAGCTTCAGTATCTTTCTACTTCATGTCTGCCTACCAGTGGCTTTCAATATGCCAGTGCGTTAATAACCTTAGAAAAGGTCCTTCACATCGTTCATATATTCACAGTACTTACATTACACCTTGTCTTCACACTTCACTGTCACAGAAGAAACAACAATTCATTACTTTGTCAAGAACAGGTGCAGCTTTTGCCAAAACTAGATTCTCACACACTTGCACTGCATCTTCACACAAATCTGTAGCTTTAAAATAACCTTTTGTTTTTGTTTTTTGTTTTTATCTGTGTGTTGGTGTCTTCAGGGGCTGATATGTTTGACATGGAGCTGGCCAGGGTGGGCGCTCTTGGCTTCACCGGTTGTCTGTCAGCAGTGTACTTTAACTCCATCAGTCCTCTGAAAGCAGCTCTTCTCCAACCTGACCGCAATATCGCCATCTCAGGCCCACTAACACAGTCAAATTGTGGTTCTCTATCCTCTGCTAATCCCCAATTATCAGTAACAACACATTCTTTACCAGGTATGTGAAACATAAATTATCTTTGTGCAACCCACATTTGGTTTTGTATATGTACCTGTGACCCCACCGCTCCCATTCTAGGAATGTACAGCATATTACTTTTATTATTGTATGATATCCATAGCGCAGAGGCATTAACTGCCTAGGAGTGGGGTACAACGCACTCCCATACTCTGTCACAGAACATCCAGTTTTACAAATGGATATATGAATGGATGGGAAACTCTATATGGTGATCTAACATTGGGAGTACCTTTCCCTACTATCATTCTTCATACTTAGTTACTTGACCTTCTTTTCCTCATTGTTCTCTGAAGAGGTGGGAATTCCGTCAGAGCTAACTGAAGGTCCCTCAATCTGTCACTGATGCCCTTTTTGCTGACGAATAATGGGAAACATAAAAGAAACAATGATTGACTAAGCTGGGGGTCGGCAACACGCGGCTCCAGAGCCGCATGCGGCTCTTTAGCGACATCTAGTGGCTCCCTGGAGCTTTATAAAAAAATGTTTGAAAATGGAAAAAGATTTTGATAGTAGGCTAATATAGCTCAAATAGATATAGATACATGTTGCAGCTCCGAAAAAGGAGAGCTGTGGTGTTGGTTTTTTAAAACGTACACTTTATTTATGCTTTTAACAGTCTCGACAAACACAGACACGTCTGCGTCCGACTCCGTGCCTTCTCTCTTCTCGTTCGACTCGAGAGGCGTTGAAAGACAGCCTCTGAAAAACGGAAATTAATGATCACTTCACTGACACGAAGAAAAGCGAAAATAATACACCAAAACAAAAAAAAATCAAGCGAGGAAATCACAAAATAAATTCTATGGGGGCATTTGTGAACACACAACAAAGGAATGAATAACATAAACAATTCTGAGACAGTCCAGTCTCCTACATACATACAGCATGTGTTTCCCTCATTCTAAGTTTTATAGAAGGCTTTTATTTTTTTGCGGCTCCAGACATATTTGTTTTTTGTTTTTTTTTGTCCTATATGGCTCTTTCAACATTTTGGGTGGCTGACCCCTGGACTAAGCACTGATGGAAGTTGGTTTTCATCCGTCAATGTCATCGGCACTAACCGTGTCAGTACTGACAGGCCTCTTCATTGATGAGTGACAGAAGCACATGCACTGTCTCATGTGTTTGTTATGTGTGTGTGTATATATATATATATATATATAAGAGAGAGAAAGAAACACTTGCCAAGCTGAGCAAATGCGCCATACCATTGACAAAACTCACCTACACTCTGCAATCACTCTGCGATACGTCGCTCCTCGATGCCCCGGCGCTGAACCCACTCACCTGCACTGAAGTCAAGCGCATGAACCAAAAACTCATAGTGCACAGTTATTAGTTGAGTGCCCTGAGTAAGGAAACATTTTACCACATTCTAGTATAGCATACCATAGCATATACCCATGGCTCCACTCACCTCTCCGTTTGACTGCATCAGCTGCTCCCCCTTGGCAGAAAAAAATCTGGGAACCGGAAGGAAGAATCACCAAACTTTATCAAATCCAGGAAGCCCAAAAACAAATGGATACCATGATCTTTGGCCAAGTTCATTCCGACAGCAGCAATCACTACATCACTTCACCCTGTCCTCTTGCCGCTGCTCCCACTATTCCTGCTCCGGTTATGGTCAGGGATGACACCTGGTCACGGCTCAGGGCCAGGTCGAAAACAATTGTCAGCTATACTCCATCCCATCACGAACCTTGGTCTCTTGTCCGCTCTTGCAGCACGAGAGCAAATCGCTCATCTCATACATATCCACATTGGAACATCCATCTGGAAAATAAATACAGTGTCCTGGACATGCACGACTACCCTCTCCTGTCCGCAGACTCCCAGTGCCTGTCCCAGTCTCATCTCCCCCACATGAGCAACCCCCAGCTGCTTCTGCTCCCTTATTATTATATGTACATATACAGTATAAATGCATGTACACATACATCCTGTGTGTAAATGAATGTAACTGGCTCAACTTTAAGGCCCAAAGTAATCCATATGACCAGTAGCGGTTGAGGCTTGTGAAGTGCCATTCTATTTTGAAGCTCATTTGTTGATTTGGTACCCAAGATTATTTTTTAGTCAATGTTTCACTTGGCGAGCCGTTATCACTGAAACCATATAAAGAAGTCAATTCAACTCCCTATACATTTTAGAGTTCTTTCAAGATCCTATTATTTGTTTTCAAATCTTTAAATGACCTCGCGCCACCTTACCTCTCTGAGCTCGCCCCCGAAACATTCGGCAAGCCCCCTCTTGCTGCCCATCTTTAAAACCCGCCTCATAACTCACTTGTATTCTTTGGCATTTAACTCAGCATGACTCAGATTTGATCTTAATTTTACTGTTTGATGCCTTCTACCATCTTTGTTACTGGTTTATTACTTTATTGTTGTTTATATGTTAGTTGCTCCATGTACAGCACTTTGTGTGCAGCGATGGCTGTTTGAAAGTGCTCTACAAATACAGTTGAGTTGAGTTGAGTTGAGCCGTTATGACTGAAACCATATAAAGAAGTCAAGAATAACTGTTGATTCAACTATTGTTTAAGTTACTATCATGAGGGGTTTGGTAACAAGAAAATGATAAGAATATATCTCTTATTTATTACATATGAGAATTCAACATTTTGGTAGACATTTTAGAAAGGATCATAGAAGTTGACATGTTTGAGCTGCTTTCGCGGGCCACATAAAATGGTATGGCGGGCCAGATCTGGCCCCCGGAACTTGAGATTGACACCTGCGGACTACACTAATATTAGATGTATGACAACTAAATCAGGAGGCCTATGTTTCATTGGTAGCCCGCCCGATGTACTGTAATTAGTTAGATTTGGTTATTTTAAGTTGGGTTACTTTTATTGTATATATCGTCTTTTATTGTATATATCGTCTATATGTTTATACTGTTTTAGACTACATTGTCTTTCACTGTTTACTGAGGATTGAGAGAAATAAATTTCATCCATGCTACATGTCAATGTATGCATATTTGACAATAAAGTTGAACCTTGAACCTTGAACCTGTTTTATTCTGTAATTTATCTGTCTATGATTGTGAGGCGTGAATTAAATTATATTCAGTAGTAGCCACGCGTCCAATCTGAACTGCTTATCCTGACTAGGAGTCCGCGTGTGCCGAAGCCTGTCCCAGCTGTCTTTGTGGGAGAGGTGGGGTACACCCTGAAGTGGTTGCCAGCCAATTTCAGGGCATAAAAATAGACAAATAAACAATCAATCACACCATCATAAAGTATTTCTGTGTACAATATAGTGTCAACGATAATACTTTCAGTCAGCTGCAAATGTTGTTGTTCACTTTTTTGGCTTCGTTTTCTTTTTTACATTGTTTCCAGACCCACCTGCTTCACTGGATCCAAGCCAACCCTTAGTCAAAACCATCAGGAGTGACTCAGCTCTAATTGGAGGTACCAGATCAGATTATTATTGTGATAACGATCTAATTTCAGGGGGATGAATTGCTTATCATACAGAAAATAAAACATGTAGTTAGGTTCATTTTTTTGGATAATGACAGAATTTTATGATTTTAATGCAGTATGACCACGACAATACATCAATCATGGCCGCCAACAAACATAATTGAAGTGTACAATTAACATTTTTTTTAAACATGGCATTCACCATTTTGGATTTTAAACCACTGTCAGTTGATCACATCCAATTTCAGGGCCAACCACTATTTAAAGTTGTAATCATAACTATTATTCTGGGACGGTACTGGTACACATGGTACGTTCAGTATCATGGTTCAATACATTTTCACAATGTTTTTGTCAGCAAAATCGGCATCTCAAAAGGTACTGAATAAAAGTGCCTCTTCTCCCTGAAATAATTGTATACATGAGAGAATGCAGAAGTATAAAACACCTACCGTATTTTTCGGACTACAGGCCGGCTACTTTTTTTTCCCACGCTTTAAACCCTGCGGCTTTTAACGTGACATGTTTCATTTATTAATGTTTTTACTTACGGGCTTCGAGCCGCTATTAGATTTACCCAATCGTCGAATCACACTAACCAATGAAAATTACTAAACAAGTCACAGAGAGTGGTGCGGTGCAATGAAACTGTGCAAGTCTGCCCTCATATTAAATATTCATCAGCCCGTTGTGGTTGGAGTGCGTCGGTTTTTATGCATCGCAATGCATGGCTTTGTGCTGTCCGAGCACTTGAAAAGAAGAATCTTGAGTTTAGTTTAATGAGCAAAGGGAGCGAGTGCCATAAACACAGCCATCTCCTCAGTACAATGGCCGTCTCTCTGTTGTATGACAACTGACTCCCACAATCGCTGGCAACAGATGGCAGGCACAATCCCTGGAGGAAAGCCACTCCAGCTACCTGCATCTCAAACGAGTTTCCAAAAGCTGCACTACCGCATGACTGTACAAGGGCATCGGCAAATTTGTGACTGAGAAAGCTACTGTGATGCTACTGTGTAACTAGCTGCGATCAGCAATGCTTTTTTTTAGAGAGGTGGAGGGTTATCTACTTACTGGTATGTAAGGTAAGTAGTTTTTTGTGTGACATCTTTCTTTGCAAATATCACGTTTTAACATGGAGAGATGCGGCTAATAATATGAAGCGGCCAATATATGTACAAATTTAGTTTTATGGCTCGATTAAGATGGTGCAGCTTTTAATCAGGTGCATTTTTGTAAAGTTTGGTGGTGTGGGCTAACAAGGTGGCAAGCCACGGACATGTGTTGTTGGACACCAGAAGGAGCAAAGATGTAGATTGTAGATTTCCACCGGTATTTGGTAGCAAACAGAAACAAACTCAGCTTTACCATGCGTTACTTATAGGAGCACCTCGGCCTGAGTACACACGACAGAGTTTGTGACAAAAAGTGTCGTAAAAAGGTCAAAGGAGAAATGACTTATTGATATAACAAATTATGAGGCACCACCGTGTGTACCGTACAACCAAAATCATGACTGTTACACTTTGTAGTCTGTAAATTATGGGAAACAAATGTGTGTCCAAAAAAAAAAAAAATCTACTTGTGTGACAGTTCAATAACGGATATGTCACTGAAGTTAGATCCAAATTCACAAAAACCCTTTATTTGTTTGGCGAATGCTTTGTGTACAATAAACGCAGTATGATATTGTATACATCATTAGGCACACTTGGAGAATTCATCTCACAGGCACCTCAACAGAAATTGCATTTCATGCTCAGATAACAAATTGCTGCTTTATCCTCACAACAAAATGGCTGATTGATTCTTGGGAGGCTACTTTTATTCCTGTTCACCGCATGCCGCTGTTTGTAGGCGTTATCGCAGTGGTCATCTTCATCACTGTGTCTGCCCTGGCCATCATCATCGGAATCACCTGCAGCAGACTTGAGACGCATCTGAACAGGGATGTGAAAGCGTCACAGCCCGACGTTATCAATGATGTCCACTTAAGTGATGAGCTTAATTATCAGAGTGCTCGGAGTGACAACCAAAAGGAGTTTTTCATATAAAGTATGACTGACACGACAGAGTCACCCTCATCTGGATGTCCTTTTTGAGAGACTGCATCTTGGAGCCATTGGTCTATTTTCGATGCTTTTTTTTTTCCATTTTGATTTGTAAATGTTGTACGTGTTGCACAAATTGGTAAGCTATCAATTATAGGTGGATTCTAAGCACTCAGCAGTATTCTGATTGTGCGTGCGTGCGTGCGTGCGTGCGTGCGTGCGTGCGTGCGTGCGTGCGTGTGTGTGTGTGTGTGCGCGCGCACGCATGCGAGCGCATGTATTTATTTATTTAATTATTTATACTACCCTTCAAATCACCTAAAATTGCCTGGGGGTTTGTTTTGTTTTTAAATAAAAGCACAAGTGTACATATCATTCATCAGTTTGGGGTGACTTAGAAATACAATACAATACAATACATCGTGATTTATATAGCCCTTTCCAAATATCCTTATACACTGTTTTATCAATGACGATAACATGAAAAGAAATACAGAAATACAGTTATAGTTATTGTTTGTGTTTTTTTAAAAGAAAATAAACAAGCATTGCTTTCTTTTAAAACATTTTCTGAGAGACCCCAAACTTTTGAACAGTAGTGTGTGTGTGTCTGTGTGTGTGTGTCTGTGTGTGTGTGTGTGTGTTTGTGTGCAGTGTTTATATAAACTTGTCTTAGTGTCTCCTTCACACTTTAAGGCACCAACTATCTTGCATATTGTATGAGATTATTCCAAAACATCTGTTATTGTTATATAATGGGGACATTCAAATGTCTCATTAATTAATCTTTAATCTGCAATCTGAATATGTGAAAGGCATCTGGTCAGGACATGTGTTACTTCTACAGTGGAGATTGAGTCATGGACTGACAGGAGTCTTGCAAACTGCCCTAAGCAAGTTCAGAGACAAGATTTAAACGCAAAACGTCACGACTGTGGCAGGTGTGCTAACCACATACAAGACTATGTATCAGATCGCGTGCCTTGGTTCTCTGTCATTATTTTAATACATACTGTCATACATACTTGTGTAATATTTTGTACAGATTTATGCATTTACATTTGTTCCGACATCCTGTCCGTTGGGTTTCTTTCAAAAATAAAAGGCAGTAAGTAATGTTCTGGTATTTTTATTTATTTTTTTTACAGTCTCTTGAATTCACGATACAATATAGATGTGCAGAGGAAAATTGCAAATGAATAAAGAATGCCGGCAATGTGTTTATTTTAGTTTGACTCATCATGCATTGCTTGCGGAAAGGATCTAGGCAAGAGCATATCCTAGCAATCACAGCAAGAATGAGCTTTGTGCCACCAGCGTCTATCCACCTTATTCATGAAGGCTGTCATGGAAAACAATTGTGGGAGTGACTTCCTGTAAAACACCGGAAGTAGCGGTGACCCATTTGTTAAAACGTCTTTCGTTTCCCCCAGCGATTTATTTTCTAATGTTTTTTTGTTTCCTTTTCTAAACAATTAAAAGCCCTCCATAGCACATAAAAATGTCTTGTGCAGAACTTATTGGCTGACTAACTACCAGAAGAAGTTGAGTCTGTTTCTTCAAGAGTTATGTTTTGAACATGAACACCGGATGAGAAGACGATGTTGTTGTGATAATAGTCGGTACCAGCGGCTTGATAGCCATCTGGAATTTCGGTGCTCACGAACTTTGACAGTCATTTCGCCTGCATTGTTGTCGGAAATGGTTAGATATGCAGGATTCAATATTCCAATGCAGTGTTATTTGAAGTTGAGTTTAATCAGTGGATAGTTGAATATTGATATTTCCAAACTATGTCACAAGGACTCTGAATTCAGATCCGCTCGTTTCTGCAGGCCTCTGCAATATTTTTGTCACGTGAGGAGCGGAATTTGGACCCAGAAGCAGACAGTAACATGAAAGTGGTGAAGTAAAAAACTTTATCTGCAAAAATTCAAAGTACAAAACTGAGCGCAGGGATGGACGTAGCAGGGCACGGAAGGCTTAACGTTCTGACAACATGTAACTGAGTAACTCAAGCTTATATATATAGAAAAACAAGTCCAGCCCTGCGTGACCAAATAAAGGACTAACACAACAAATAACTTAAAGGGAACAGTCTCAAACTTGGGTCTTAAACTGAACAGTGATTTTAAACTTGGCCGGCAAATTGTTGCCGTTGTTAAATCCAGCTTCTTTCATCTTAGACAGCTGGCCAAAGTAAAACCTCTCCTCTCTCAAGAACACTTTCAGACAGTAATTCATGCCTTCGTCACATCCTTACTGTGATGCACTTTACTTTGGAATCAGCCAATCCTCCATTAAGCGCCTCCAGCTGGTCCAGAATGCCGCTGCTCGCCTCTTCACTGGTACTCAGAAGAGGGAGCACACCTTCACTGGCTCCCTATACATTTTAGAGTTATTTTCAAGATCCTATTACTTGTTTTCAAATCTCTAAATGACCTCGCGCCACCTTACCTCTCTGAGCTTATCCGCCCCTACACACCTGCCCGGCGCCTCAGGTCTGCGGATCAGACATTGTTAGAAGTACTGTCAGGTACATCAATTTGACATTCAGAAATAAAACACAAGGAGGAGACAGGAGACTCAATTCTGGTACCAGGGGGGAACGAGGAGAAGCGTTAGGTTTCAGTTCTCTGCACGTCACCCAAGGATCTCCCCGCTCGCCCCCTCATTTATTGGGAATCTAATACATGGGTGTGTCCAACCTAAAGGGTGAGGGCTGTTGAAGACACACTGAACTTGTTTGACTATGTGTGTCTATGTGAGTGAAAATTACATACATGTGTGCAATCATTACATAAACACCAAGTTGCAGCTGGTGTTGACAGTTCCGTCCACGTCCGACCCTGCTCTTGTTTTGTCTTAATATTTATCTCTTCCCAACCACTTTCACGGAAAGGTGGTAGTGTCCCTCAACTGCCACGCAGTGCAATAAGCATTCTTGATTATAAATGTGAGTATATAATGATTAAAAACATTGTATCTTTATTAAAAGCATAAGCGTTCTTCATTGCAGGCATAATCAATTTATCATTGCAGGCATAATCAATCTATCATTATTAATAAGCAAATGTATGATAACTAAAAACAATCAACCTAACAAGTACCAAGAACTAAACGGAGGCTCAGAGGGAATCTAGCCTTTTCCGTTGCTGGGCCCTCTCTCTGGAATGACCTCCCACTGAACATTTGGCAAGCCCCCTCGCTGCCCATCTTTAAAACCCGCCTCAAAATTCACTTATATTCTTTGGCATTTGACTCAGGATGACTCAGATTTGAGCTTGGTTTTGCTGTCCGGTGCTTTCTACCGTCTTTGTTACTGATTTGTTGCTTTACTGTTGTATATGTTAGTTGCTCCATGTACAGCACTTTGTGTGCAGCGATGGCTGTTTGCAAGTGCTCTATAAATACAGTTGAGTTGAGTTGAGGAACAAAGAGAAAAGCTCTGTCACAGTCATACCAGTTTTGATGTCATGGCACCTGTCATTTTGTCAGTTTTTCACAAACCTGACAAATCTTGACTAGGCCATTCCATTTGCCCCTTGACTTACACTACTGTATACAGAAAGTAATGAGCAATGGGATTCAAACTGGGATTTAGTTTTCACACATTACGGGTTGCAAGACTTAATTTATTTATTTTTTTAATCGGCCCAAATTTGATGAAAGTCAATTTGATGTCTACTACACCCTGATGAAATCTTTGATATTTTTACACTAAGGTCCTATAATAAAATATACATTAGGAGGGACTGCTTTGCAAAGGTCTCTTTCAGGGGTTCCCAAGTTTGGTCCTTGAGATTCCCTAACCAGCCTGTTTTAGATGCCTCCTTCTTCCAGTACACCTGATTCAAATGATCAGGATCATTATCAGGCCTATCAGAGCTTGTTAATGAGCTGATCATTTGAATCAGTGTCAGAGTTTTTTACTCGGACAAAGTTAAAGCCCTGTAAAGTTAGGACGGCCCACCGAGGGGCCCTCCGTCATCTGTCAAAACAAATCGCTGATGCACATCGTCAGCTGAGTACATGTGTGAACATGTTATACATCTTTTAAAAGCGGAGTTTCTGAAGATTTGAAAAGAAATTAGACGAACATAAGAGTCACCTTTTTTTTCTGTTTTCAAACATCCATAGTTCAGTGACAGGAGCACTTCCACAGATTCTGACTGTTTGGGAGAAAAAAGTGTTATCTTCAAAAAGAGACCAAAACTATGCTGATATTCCAAATGGTTCAAGAACAGCTCCAAATTTACTTTGGGTGCACCTTTTTTAGGCGTTTTTGGCTAATTTGCCCTCGGCCAAAGGGGTTTTTAAACAAATGACTCGACACACAGGGAAGATTATCTTTCTGATCAGCGGAAGAGGATCTCTGAGAGCGAATGACGGTAGTTGCCCCGTGGTCACTCTTAGAGTTCCTTGTCCTCCAGTCGGACTTTTATTGTTTACATATGCAAAATGCAAGAAAAACACTGCCCCTAATATTTGCATACCACGTCCCTGGTCCGGCCCCTCGGTAGTGATCTGATTATCTTGATTTAAGCCGGGGGTCGGCAACACGCGGCTCCAGAGCCGCATGCGGCTCTTTAGTGACATCTAGTGGCTCCCTGGAGCTTTTTAAAAAAATGTTTGAAAATGGAAAAATATTTTGATAGAAGGCTAATATAGCTCAAATAGATATAGATACATGTTGAAGCTCCGAAAAAGGAGAGCTGTGGTGCTGGTTTTTTAAAGCGTACACTTTATTTATGCTTTTAACAGTCTCAACAAATACAGACACGCCTACATCTGACTCTGTGCCTTCTCTCTTTTCGTTCGACTCGAGGGGCGTTCAAAGACAGCCTCCGAAAAATGGAAATTAATGGTCACTTCGCTGACACTAAGAAAAGCGAAAATAATGCACCAAAACAAAAAAAATCAAGCGAGGAAATCACAAAATAAATTCTATGGGGGTGTTTGTGAACACACAACAAAGGAATGAATAACAAACAATTCTGAGACAGTCCAGTCTCCTCCATACATACAGCATGTGTTTCCGTCATTGTAAGTTTTATTGAAGGCTTTTATTTTTTTGCGGCTCCAGACATATTTGTTTTTTGTTTTTTTTTTTTGTCCGATATGGCTCTTTCAACATTTTGGGTTGTCGACCCCTGGTTTAAGCTTTGTACCACAGATACGTTGACACCTTTCAGTCTGGTCTACAACGAATCAACTAAAGTTG